TTGTCAACAAGAAAATGCAAATTCTGGGACAGAGTGAGGAGAAGCTTAAATAGGATTTTCTCTTACATTAAATAACAAGACTTTTCAGCCCTTCTGTGATTAAAAAACCAAGCAGTGTTCATGGTACAGCCAGCCCAGACATAGGGATGCTATAACTGCTGAAAACCTTTAGAGAGTGCCTCTCTTGCAGCCTAGAGAGCCACCATTGCTTTCAGAGAGTACAAGAGATATACTTTATTTTAAAAAAATATTTATATGTTACTCCAAAAATTGGACAACTCCCCCAACAATTAGAAGATTATTTTTTTAACAGGGTAAAAACATTATTTTGTCTAACATGTTCCTTCTCTGACGCTTCTCCGTTCTCCATCCCTAAATAGGCTGAGGCAAACACCTAAGAAATGAAATTTAAAGTCTGAAATGCTGAAAAGTGACAAAGTTATACTAAACTGAGTCTGGTCAGTGTATAATACTCAAGATCTCTGTACATCACAGCACTGTCAGGTTCTTAAACAATGCTGTAAAGTGAAATTCCAAGGTAAGGTCAGGTTGCAAATGTACCAGGTAAGAAGCTTTGATTGATATAATGCAATGACATTTGAAGAGAAAGCTACATACAGAGGAAGAAATTGATGTCATTTATTGCTGACATGGCTTTCCCTTGTCTCTCTGTCTTTCTCACTTTTTATTTTTTCCATTTTGGACTCAGAAATGAATACAAATTAGTTTAATAAAATTTCCTAACTGAGATGCAGAATTATTTTAAAATATACCATGCAGCCGAAATGTCATGGTTAATTTTAATCTGCAGCATGTGGCTAATGTCCTCGGGCTGTTTCAATGGTGCAGAAGATTGTAATTATTCACCTGTTAAAATAAATGCAGCTTTAACAAGTCTGATCACAGCTGAAAAGGAAGAGTGGAGAGGACAGGTAGACAGCTACTGTTTCAGTGTGTCATCTGTGAACAGTGCCTTTGTAACTCTCTGGGAGGAATTATCTACCTATAAAGGAAAAAGGCCTACAATATTAAGTGGACTGTTTCCTGTAATAGCAAATTTTTCTATATTTTCCTTTAACAAAGTTTTCTGAGTGAAGGTATTGCAACAGAGACAGTGTTAGTGCAGTTCCTGGCCGGTATAACACGTCCTTTCTTATGGAGATGAAAGAATGAGTGAGATGTCATAAAAATATCATCAGTGGTGACCAAAGCACTCTTTCATAAGTGCTATCTGATATTGTCCTTACAGCAGTGACTGTTTTCTGCTTCCCCTTACCAGCATTTTGGCATTTTTTTGCCTTTGATAGAAAATTTGCAAGACCTTATTCATTAAGATGTTCATTCCTGATTCCTCCTGTCCCTGGAGCTTCACTGACACGAGAGAGGAGTTTTGCTATTGTCAGTGAGGTGTGTGCCCATCCTTGGGACAGGTGAAGGGACTGGGGAGCCCTTCATTGAATCTTTGCCTGGGCATCAGCAGCTGGTCCTCCTCCAAGATATGCTGGGACACCAGTGTCACTGTAAGAGTGCTCTCTGAGATCACACCACTTATAAGGTCATGGTGTCACTCTGAGCTTTTTTTCTGCCCTGAATAGAGTAAAATGTAGAAACCCAAGCTCTTCCCCTCACGGTGACTGGGGAATTTCTAATTTCCTGAGACCTTAGCTCCGGTAAATGTACTTTTTTACCTACTTTTGCCTGTTGTTACATGTTTTGCTCTTTGGAAGGTAATGTTCTCTGCAAACTCAACTTTAACTTGTGTATTTAACTTTTAAGAAAAACACCTTGATCTTCCTTCAGCCCACACTGATCTTAGCTAACGGTGGGTAGTTTAAATCATGAAATCCTTTCTCACGGGAGGCCGTGCCCATGTAGCAGTAAACTTGGCCTGTCAAAATCATGTCATTTGTACGTGGAAGGTAAAAAGCTCTTTGAAGTGGTAATGAAGTAAGTTCCTGCTACATGACAGAAAGTTTTGATAAGATCATGTTCGTTGGGAGAGTACTTATCAGAAGAGCTGTGATGCATTTTGTGGAAACCAAGGTCCCAATGGAAAGTAGTGAAATGGGAAGATCTAGCTGTTCACCCTCTTAAGAAAATGCATCCCCCTTCCTTTGTTCATTTTCTTTGAACAAGCAGGTGTGGATGCCGAGGCCATCTCCCATCTACACACTGGCTCTACTTTCTGGTGGCTTCAGAGCAAAAACCAGATGATGATAATGTGTTTTTAAACTTAAGCGCAGCAAAACCTTGCAGGTCCTCCAGGCTTTTCTTCTCAGGGAAAAACATGGACATCTGCCAGGTGAATGGAGAGCTTTCAGCTGTCCCTCATGAGGCTGTGATAGCAGTGTGATAGCAGTACTCCTCTCATTCTCCATGTTGTGCTGAAAGCATCTATGTTCCCAAATTCTTGTTCCTTTCTCAGTATTTCAGGGGCTTTTAATCTGAATTATCCTTTGTGCTTTCCCTGTGCTCCGCTGAAATATTTTACATTGTAATTTTTTGAAAAATACAAGATAGGTGTCTATCTTACATCTCACCATAATTCAGCATGGAATACTACTTCATCTGACTTCTATTTTTCAATTTAGAAAGCATTTCTGGCAGAGTCCTGAGAGCCATCAGACATTTCAGAGCCAAAGCAGCACCACAGCCCCTCAACCACTTCAACTCATGCAATCTCTTAGGTAGAGAAAATGATGAAAGAAACAACAGATGGTGGCTTTCCAGACAACTGAGCCATTTGTGAGAAAATCAGATTTTAAAGATATTGAAGCAGTTGGAATGCTTTGGGACAACCAGGAGTGAAGATGGGTAGTACAATCATGGAATGGCTTGCATTGGAAGGGACTTTAAAGATCATCTAGTTCCAACTCCCCTGCCACGGGCAGGGATGCCACCCACTCGAACAAGTTGCTCATAGACTTATGCACAGTATAGTATTAAAAACAGAAGGGAAGAGAATGAGTTTTAGATTCATAGATACTGATTCTGTTGGGTTCGAGGCTTGAAAAAAAATCACTGAAGAGATGGTTAAATACCCACTTCAAAATGACGGGACTAAATGCCAGCACGTCTCTGGTATTTCCAGTACATTATAGCCTGTAAAATCCTCATTTCTTTAACCCTCTATTGGCTGGTGTGCTGCATTCTTAGGTACAGGAAAGCTCCTTGTGATTTTTAAAACAAGATTAACGTGAACATCAGGCACTCCTGAAAAGCTGACAATACAGGCACAGCTCTCAGGGGCTTCAAGAAAGGACCCCATGCTATGAGATTGTCTGAGAGCCCTAAAGGGAGACATTCCTTGGATTCCCTGAACATGAGCATATATAATCTAATGGTTTAGAGGGATGTGCTTTTAAGCAACTGGGCTTGAGCTGTGGCCTAAAACACCAGTGTCCGTGGTGCCATGGCATGGACAGGAGAGCAGTGTTGTCCTTCCACATCTTTCCCTCCTCCTGCAGCCACAACAGGTTTCTCACACCTCTTTGCAAGGTCCAAATCCCTGATGCACTGCAGTTTCCTGGGGGAAGCAGTGGGGAGCAGCAGTGTCAGCTGTTTTCCTCCTCAGGTTTGCATGAAATAAGCGTGGGCAGCCACTTTTCACATCCATCTGGTGGCACATAGAAAGTCTTGTTTCTGGGGGAAATACTCCCTAGGTTGAGCATGAAGAGGTGGATGAAGCTCTAGTGGGATTGTGGGGCAGCATCAGTCACATTCCTGAGCAGGAGGGCAGTGTCTGATCTGCTGAACAGGGAGCTTGTCCCTGCAGCAGCCCCGATGGGAGGGAATGGCTCTGTGTCCTTCGCCTCTGTATTTAATCACAGTGGGAGTCGTGTGGTGGGGGCAGAGCTCACAAATCATGACAGGCATTTTGCTCCCACTTCATGGGGTTGTAACAGAGTGCCAGCTGTTAACAACTTCCTGCTTGGGTAAATCATAACAGACACTTTGCTTTGCAAAGGTTGCTGCAATGACTTTTAAACAGGAATTTATCCAGGAGCCATGACACAGAGCGTAAGTAATTGCAATCGTATGATATCTGTGTCATTGATGGTTTCTGCAAATTTTTAGTAACTGCTGTAATACCATGAATAATTGGAAAGAAATACAGTATTTTTCTGCTTTCTTAAGAATAGGAATTGATGCTGAAATAGGGAATAGTCGCTAAAGTCCTCCTGTGTATGCATGTAAATCTATGTATTATGAAATACAAGATTTCTTATCTGATACCATCTAAACTAATGTTGCATCCCTGGAGCTACTATCAATTTTTTCTGTGTCTGACATAAATTTTTGGATATTGGTATAATAATCATCATGTAAATCATTCACTGGGTTCATGAGAGAAGCAAGACTGACTTTGGACAAGAGTGTGTGTCTTGTGCTATTAGTACATGACTCCTTATTATCAAAAAGCTCAGATTTTAATGAAATGAAGATTCCATACTTTTATAAATCTCCATACTTTTATAAATCTCCTTTTTCAGTATTTGAGAGTTAGGAATGTATGGGCAAAACAAAGAGTAATTATTTTACCTTCTTGTTGTGGGTCTAGCTTTCCAAGTAAATTATACTCATGATATTGCTTCTGTGAACATCTGCATTTAAATGAGTCACAGTAATGCTATCTGCCAATAATACACTTTCTCTTCTTGCAGGGAAAGTACATCTGGTGTGTGGCAGTAAAAGGAGGTCACTGAAAAAAAAATGCTGAGGAAGGAATGAAAGCAGCATCACTTAACCTAAAATAACTGAATACTCCTAAACTAGATCTGAGTCAGACCAGTCCCTCTCATCCCGAAAGAACCCAGTAGGTTGAATACTCTATCTGGCCAGTGGGGTTTTTATCTATTTAGCCTTTATAGGTGAATTTATTTTTAAGGAAAGGTTAGCAGATGAACTGACTCCCACATAACAAAGTGTAGCTCTTGTGAAAACTGTCAGGAAAAATGAGTAATAAATACATGTTGTTTTTTTTTCCCCTCCCCCTGCAGGCATCAGGGTTATGTTTATACCTACAGAGTGTCCCAGACAGAAACTGGCTCCTGGAGTGCTGAGGTGTGTACTTCTCCTTTCTCTTCTGAAAATTTCTACACCTTGTTTCATATTCTTATAGATTTAATGAAATATATTCAAATTATTCATGTTTCTGCATAGTCTGATTTTCATTGACGGTAATCGATCTTGAGTGTGCCCATCAGTAAGATGTCTTGGTGCCACTTCTGACAGTCTAGAATTCATAAATTAATTCCCTGTTTCACTGCAGCTGTTGCATAATGCAATAGTGCATTATTTCCCATCATTTTAAATGGCAAAAATATTTTGTTTTTATAACTTGACAAGCACAATCTGTTCCCTTCTATCTGTGTACCACTAATGTGGGAATATTTAAAGAAATTATTTTCAATCTACATTGTTTTAAAGTTAATTTTGCTCCACATCAATTCATCGTAAGTGAAAAATACATACAGGGTAGCCAAAACTTGATATAAAATATATTTTCATCCATCTGACAAGAAAACAGTAATTCAAGTATAGAAAAATACTTGCAATACAGACAACTATTTGGGTTGATGGGATTGGGATGTTAACCTGTATTTATTCTATGAATTTTTTGTTCTTTGGATGTACTCTGTGTATTATTTCATAATTAGCTTTCTTTTTGTATGTTAATGAACACTTATTAGAAACATGATATAATTTCTCGACAGGGATAATTCCCTGGCCATTATTGTAATAGAATTGGTAGCAGTGTTCTGGAAGACAAAACTGTTTCTTGGGGTTACTCAGAAGCAGATTAGGGAGTGGAAGTGACTGACATTACTGTGGAGTAAATAATTCACCCTTGGGCCCCGGACTCTGAACATCCTCTGCAGGAAAAGGTGCTGGCTACAGATCCATGATACCAACCGTTCCCTTAAGCAAACAGAAACCTTTCAGTAAATGTTGCTAAGACCACATTGGCCTCAGCTGTTAGAAACAGCAGCCTAGATCCAACTTATCCCCATGGAATGTGCCTCCAAGGCCAAGAGAGGCTCCAGATGCAGCTGATCCTTTCCTGTCTCTGCTTCCTTCCCTGTGGCTGGTTAGTCTCTGAGCAAGCTCAGGTCACACCCATCTTTCAAGGACGAGGCAGGGAAATTAAAGCAGTGCTGGTGAAATCCCAGCCAGTGTGAGGACTCCAGCTGGTGCCAGTGAGGTTGGATTTAGCTCCCAGCTGCTGGGTGAGAGCACTGTCCCTCCAGTGTCACTAGGTTGGCAGGGCCTGTGCTTGTCCTCCTTTGACTTTGGTGAGGAGGTGTTATTGCAAGAATGCCCTGAAGGATTTAGCGCAAACACTGGATTTTTGATTACAAGCACAAGTGGTTTCATTTCATAGTGTTTGAAAAGTTGCTAATTTAGAAAGTAGAAAACCTTCCAGTTTTAGTATACAGGTAACATTTAGTTGTTGTCTTTGTACAAGAGATAGACAGGAATACTCAACACATAAGCCAGGACTGAATGCTCAGAGAAGGTTTTGCAAAGAGGCTGTGTCCTTGCTGAAATTTAGTGGTGTAAGGACTCCCCAGTAAGCCCAGGTAGCTCTCTAGGTTGTCTTACTGGTGTTTGCAGGCTGTAACTATCTTACGGATACATGCCAGGAAGTTATTGGTAAGGAGGTTAAGTCACTGGCTGTAATAAGTTAAGGTCAGAAATAGTGAAAGATCACTTATGAGTTTGCCTAATGGCAGGTTTCTCTTGTAGTGGCTCAGAAATTGTTCCTCTCCCAGCTTTACATCACTGTGGTGCTGGAAATTGCTCGGGGCAGGGAGGCTGTGATGCCCTGGGGAAGGGGGAGAGCAGTGCAGCTCATTGACTCGTTTTAAATTGGCACATCAGGGGGTCCACATCCATGGCTGGCTACTTCCCTGTGGGCTGTGTGCCTTTCTGAGGACAATGCCCCTGTGCCAGCACCCTGAGCCCAGCACAGGCGCTGGGCACTCAGCACCCCTTCTCACCTCTCTCCCTTTGACTTTGCAGACAGCGCCCGGGGTCCAGCGGAGGCTCTTTCGGAAAGTGCACAACCTCATCTCGGCCTTCCAGAAACCCAACCAAGGCATTGTAACACCCCTGCAGCATCCAGTCATCAACCACGTGAAAGCCAAATACTCCCCAGGTACTGGTGGGGTGGAGGGAGCCTCGTCTGCAGCTGAGCAGAGCCCTCCATGGTGGCAGAGATGGAGGTCTTAGACTTACTTGCATGTTTGACCTGAACTACCCAACAGAGGGATGTTGCCAAAAATGTACCCTAACTTTGTTCCTGTCTGATTGAAATGCTGTCACCCAGGTGCTCATTAGAGACAGGGCCTATCAATGTAATGAGAAATTGGATTTTGACTGTGTATTCCTGACTGCTATAGCAGCAATGGCTGCCTTCCCTCACCTGCATCCTCACTAGTGTAGGTATGAGCCTTCTGATCTATCCATTTTCTTGCAGTGTTCATCCTTTCCTATCTTTGTGATTATTTTTCTTAGGGAGGAATGAAGGCCATGATTTCCACCTGCAGCCATCGTGAGGATGTTTCCCCAAGTGTGACATAACCACAGCTTCCAGCATCTCCTCTAGTCCATGCTCTAAAACAGAACGATTTATATGATAGTTAACACAACTCCATGAGTTTTCTTGTAACATTTACAGAAATGTGTATTTCATAGAATTTATAGGTCAAAATGTAGAAGTTTAAGTTTCAGAATACTTCGAATTTGGAGTAAGGTTTTTTTCTGTTTGTTTGTTTGTTTCCTAAGAGAGGACAAAAAAGGATGGACATAATATTTTCCCCCCCTTTGTAATGTCAAGTAAAAAATATTTTTCCCTTTCAGATTAGTTCTTAATTAATAATTTGTTTCTAATTTTACATTGCTGAACTTTGGAGTCTACTTTGCTTTGTTCTGATTGGCATTTATGCAGAACTGGGCAAGTCCCCTTTTATAGCCTTAGGAAAATTGTTTACATTAAAGTGTCCTTGCCTTGGGTGGGCTGTGTGTCTGTCATTCATACAGTTCCTAAAGATATTCCAGAAGTGACACTGTGAGGATCCCCACTAACTGCTTTCCCATCACACCAGGCGTTCTGCCCTGTAACAAAATCTGTAGCTTGCACAAATGATCAAAAGCATAAGCAATGCAGACTAAGAACACCCAGTGAAGTGGAAAGCCTGCTTTTTTTGCTTTTAGGTGTTCTCTGTACTTGAAACAAGCCACCTTTGCATACAATTTAAAAAGATAAATTATTTTTCATGACAGTTTCTCTGCTTTTCTTTTCCTATGCGTGTACTTCCAGTGCTGCTGCTGGGCTCCTGGAGGGGAGTTGAATCTACAGGACTTGTCAGCTGTGCAGGGTTAGTGGGCAACACGTTGCTAAGTTGTGACAATTTCAGTTCATGACTCAGTTTCTGTCTAATTGAAGGCCAAGTTTCATTTGCAGTGAAATGTCCTATTTTTACACTCTATGTACGTGTTGCTCTGCGCCGCCTTGGTACGTGTGCTTGTTGGTTGAAACAGGTCTTAACACAGTGCCATACAGTGGCAGATCCAGCATGATTTCCTCTTTATTCAAATATTTAAAGGCTGTTTTTTTAATTGTTACATAACTCAGCAAACACACTGGCTGCTTTGCTGTCACTTGTGCCCGTTGAATCTTTCCCTCCTCCTTTCTGCCTCAAGGGTTACACAGCCTGTTGTGAGCCCGTGGCATCTGGTCCCTGGCTGTCCCTCTCCAGCTCTGTGCTCCTGCAAACCATCCTTCCTCAAAGCCAACCAGCTGCTGGGTGCTCTCAGTATGTGTGTGTGGCCCCAGCCTTCCTGGGGAGCCTTTTTCCTTTCCAAGTGCTGGGTCTAAACCCCAGGCTTACCTGGCCTCTCCTGGGAGCAGGAACAAGTGTACTTGGAAACAGTCCCTGACAGATGATTGCAGGGATAAATGTAGTGGGGAGAACTTTGCCCAAGGGTTGTTTCCTATGGAAATGTCCTATTGGCTTCAAGCAGAGGCTGAGGTTGCATGTGCAAAACCTGAGGCACACAAGCAGCAGCCGCTCACCCGCTTTTTGCGGTGCAGTGAGCTGAGGATAACTTGTTTGACTAAGGCTGGCTGCAAAAGTGCATTGTTCTTCTAAAAAATACATAAAATAGGCCAGAAGGTGCCATTTCTGTTTAAAGCTGAGAATGTTGTTTCAGTTTCTGATGTAAATTATTAAGACAGAGGTTGTGTTGTTTCTTTTGGATACCCAAGAGTATGGAATTGCTGTAGGCTTAAACAAGGTGGAAACAGAGAGAAGCTGATGATGCCTGTGAGACAAGGAGTCAGTGTTTGGTTATAGGAACAGTAAGATGGAAATTATATAGATTTCATACAATGACAGGTGTGAAGAGCTACAGATTCTTTTAGAGAGCAGCAGCTGCATTTTGTGGGCATAAATGCCCAGATGATCACCTGCTTCTTCCTTCCTACTGTCCCTTCTGGACTGCAGCCCCACTGGGACTCAGCCCCTTGCAGCTGCTCTGCCCTGTCCCCCTGCCAGCCCTGCCACCCCTGTCCCCTCACTGCCACAGTCCTGGTTCTGGCAGGTGGCTTTGTAGCTCACTGCATTACCTTGTGTCCCCTGACCCTGCATCCCCTGCTCTGCCCTCTCCCCAGAACAGGCAATGCTGCTTCTCTGCAGCAACTACCCCTCCCTCAGCTCCCTTTTTGCCTCCACAAAGCTGTCCCCTACTCCCCATCAGTGGCTGTGACAGACCTGCAGCACTAAATCAGTTCCATCTCCCAGGCTCTTTTTCTTACCTTTTCTACTAGAGCACCTCTTTCGACTCACTTCCTTCTCATCCATCCAACATAGCTCTACCAGCCTCAGCCCTCCTGCTTGTTAATGACCCAGCCCAGCTGCTCCAACGTTTTTCATCCTGTAACCTTTCCTTCAGCCTTAAACATTCCCTTGTACCTTTCCTTTCACGTGCTCCTCCTCACTGCTGCATGTGCTGGGCTTTTTATTTTTTATTTTCCTGGGTACATACTTTTGACACCACAGTCATTCATCATCATCTATTTGAGACAGCTCTAAAGAACGTGAAGATACTTAAACTTTGCTCCTCATCCTACCACCACCGTTGACTTCACCCACTCCGTTATTTGGAATGCAAAGGCATTTAGCAGAATTATTTTTTTCCCTCTCACATCTGCTTTGATGAAAGGTAATAACCTGTGCACAGAAACTGGCTGGTATTTCACCTGTAGTGAAACCTGCAGAGTTATAGGCATGAACTTTGGTGAATCAGAAGTAAAATTAAATCTTGCTAAGCAACCTCCTGCCCCCCAACTTTTGAATCAACCAATATTGGCTAAAGCCCTTATTTAGCTCTATGGAAGCACCTTTTACTGACATAACCAGAACATCCCAAATACTCGTGTAAACAAAGACAACATCACACGCCATCAGTTTGCACCTTTATTTTTTAAAAATGAAATAGTCAAAGTACTTTCTTTTTCAAATATCGACACATAATATATTAACTTTCAATATTTACAGCGTGTTGCTGGGATGTTCTTGTAGAAAATGCATGCTTCTGGTCTGAAACCCAGAGCAAAATGCATCAGACCATTTAACTGCAGCCATATAACATAAACCTGTACAGTATCCAGTCACTATTCAGCACAGGAGTTAGAGCAGGAATAAAAAAATTGGGATCTATTGTTTCCTAGCAACGAGGCTGAGGCCATTATAACACAATTTCTGTAAGATCAGAACCTCTAACTGGTGTTAGACAGAAAGTGAAGATCTTGGCATACATTGTAAACATTTTTTACTGTTGATGAGAAAGCTAAAAAGGAACGTTACTTTGACATATATCGTATGCTATGCTTCTCGTTCTCTTTTATTGACACTTCTGCCAGAAGAGTATGAAGATTGTAATGTTTTATCATGGTTCATACAAGTAAAATACTGTCAAGGACACGATCTGATATACTAACATTTATTAAAAGGCTAAAGTCCACCACGAGATCTAAGGAAAAACTGGAAATTGTCAAACACGTTTCCTTAGACAAATAATGGCAGGTGACAAATGCCCAGACAAATCGACAGCGAGTCCGACTCCACCATTCCCAGTTTCTGCCTGGAAGCGATTCCTCTGGCAGTCAGGGTGCTTTCGACCCGGTAATGTTTTGTATCAAGGAGAGGTTTAAATAACAGTCAGCATTTGACAGGAAAACCCTCAGGGCTGTGGGCGCAGCCTGAGCTGGGTGTCACCGCGCCAGATCAGCCGCGCTACGGCGAGTGCCCCAGCGAGCGCCCTGAGCACACCAACACCCTGCCGGGGATCTGCCCATCTCCTTTGGCTCAGCTAAACCAGGAGCTCCTCTGCCTAAACCACCTTCCTCTTTGGAGCAGCACCTTGGCTTCCAGCAGCACCCATTGCCATTGTTCACCCCGGAGAAGCTGCTCCCCCATGACCCCAGCCCTGGCCGCTGGTGAGGGGGCTCAATGGGTAGGGGGGTGCACGGTGGGACCCCAGAGCATGAGGCCACCTCTGGCCAGCCAGTGCACAGCTGAGGAATGCAAAAGAGCTCAAACCAAAGAGCTAAGGTGTGTACACCCAGTTGCACACTGACCAGTTCATATATATTTATTTGGCTATGTTCTACATAGATATCTATATATATATATTTATAACTTTGAAATGTTCTAGATTTGCTAAATAAATACGAAAGCAAAGGAAAGGTTATTGTACACACTATTCGTTTGGTTGTCATAAAAAATATAGCACGAATTTCTCATGGTAGGTACTTTGCTACAGGATAGTGTGCAATAGTGGTTTTTATTGTATTTTAATTTATTTTAATTATTTTTTTCCACTTTCAGAACCTTGTTTGCAGTGCAGAACGATAGCATCAAATTATTGGATCTAAATAACAGTAAAAATTTCCATGCTATTATTTTTCTTTTCTTTTTTTTTTTCTCAGTTGGGTCTCTAGGTTATAGTGCAAAATTAAAAAGAAGAAAATAGAAAAAAAAAGAAAAGGAGATCTATTAAAAAAAAAACCAAACCAACCCACTGAGAAATTGGTCTAACTACTAGGAAAAAAAAATGGAGACTGAAATATTCCCTGCCTCCATCTGAGGTTGTTCATGAACAAGATGGTCCAAAGCTATTTGTTCATGTGGTTCTCACGAATCACAGCTGGCTGGCCCATGTGTATCTATAACTTCAGTCTCCCATGCTCTTGCAGTAATAACACATTTCTTTAGTGCTGTAATCTCAACACAACATTTATATTCAGTTTCCTAGATTTACGAAACTGTTATGATGAAGGCATTTTTTTTTTGCTTTTGTAACTGGGCCATGTAATATCATGGGAGTCTTAATGGATCCATATTCTCATAAGAGATATTGTTCAAAACGTACCTTAGACTGCACCCAGGAAATGGGAAAATGCCAAATCTACTCCCAAAGACAAACTTGTAACACATTTCACTCTTCGACCTTTTGGCATAACATGAGAACAACAGTAATCAAGGCAGTATTAAAAACCACAGCTGTAGGTAATACAAAGTGCATTTCCTGCATATAATACAAATATAACTTTAAGAAACTAAAGGCACAAGCTAACTAAATAAGTATTACATACTAGAAATGCACAGTTCAAGGTTATTCTAATAGCTTCAAATATTTGTTTATAATGGATATTTAAAGCAGTTTGAAAATGATCCTCATTAGTGAATTGCAAAAAAGTATAATTGCTTAAAATATAAGTAAAATAGACTCTAATATTGACATCTTGGATCAGTGATAAAATACATCATCACATTTATGAATGCACTCTCTATATACAATTCATAAATTATTCTTCCATTGATTAAAAGCGTATTAGAGGCTCAAGGATTTGAAGGTCCATTTTTAGGCTGGTGTGGAGGTATTCAAATTCTCCGTGATTGTATGGAAAATTACAGAAATCTGAGCTGTGAAACCTGGATGTTGTCAGCTCCCTGTCCTGTACGGTAGTTAGTGATGAGCCTGATCACAATGTGTATGTGCAGATTTTGGTCCACAGTTCCCCTAGCTGGGGATAAAGGAGGGTTTCAGGGGCCAGGCTCCCACTCAGCCTGATCCTGCACCTCCAAAGCTGCGCTGGCTCCCAGGGGAGCAGAGGGAGTCTGGGAAGAGAGGATAAGGGGTGAGGCTGAGACTTGAGCTCAAACTCCAGCGAGAGGCTCAGGTCTCAGGTGCCAGTTCAGGCTCATCTCTAACTTGGGTACAGTCTGCTCCACTTGCCCAAAAAACAAGGGAAAAGAGAAAACTGGAAAAAAAGGAAGAAAGACAAAGAATGCACTTTGTTGGTTTCAGTAAATATGAACAGAAATTGTTTCAATATATTCCTATGTCTGTTTTGAAAGAAATGTGCAATAACATCACTGTTACGGATACACAGGCTCTATAACAAGACTTCTAGCTCCCTCTGAAAGTCAGTAAAGGAAAACTGCTTGCCCATCCCCCCCGCCCCATGTGCCCGCCCCACCTCCTGATAATCAGGTCTTGTAACAATGACAAGCTGGAGGAAGGATCACCTACTCTGCTATGAAGTAACTGTGCCAGCAGCGCATGATACCTTGGGAAATAAAAATTTCTGTCCATGCAATATAATGCTTTTCTATGCGCTCTAGATATTGAGCTGAAAAGTGAAGAGTCATCCCCAAAATGTTCTACGTTTATCAACATATTTACTATCCACACTTAGGTTCATCAACTCCCAACCCACCAATCTTCTTCAGACTTGGAAAAATGAGTACTACAACAGGATTATTAATCTGAGATGAAAAGAACACGATGCCTAAACCCAACAACACTGCAACTTCCAAATCATCTGTGTAAAGACGAGTCCTGGCCCAGTGACTACAGACAGGACTGATCCTGCACGGCTTGTTACTGCTCCCCGTGGGCTCCCAGCTGGGTTGTCCCCAAAGCACTGGGTTAAAGCCCAGCCTGGAGCACACCGATACTGGTGGAGAGCCTCCGAAAAATTATAGCTTGGCTGAAGCCCAGTAATGCTGTGCCACCCACATCCCTGACCAGGAAAACTGGCAGCTCCACATGTGCTCCCAGACTGCAGTATATTCCAGTGCCAAGGGAAACCCTGGGAGAGAGACCCCACACACACGAGTAGACACAATGTGGTGTTCAACATGGGGTGACTGAGGGGTGGCCACAACAGAGCAAAGGCCACAGGGGACAGCCTTGTATGTACTGAATCCAACATAAGTCAGATTTCCCAGGTTAGAAAATCCCTTAGCTCCTGGTTGTGAGGAATGACATGTGTGGGGTTGGTGAGCAACTACGAAGTTTCCATACACAGTCTGGTTTCTGTGTGCAATCCCTTGAACTTATGGGAGATCTCACTGGGATAAAAACCACCCAGTAAATACGGGTTGCAGAATCAGGCTCTGTAACCTTTTAAATAACTGGTGAATTATTAAACCAACAACAAAAAAGTTGTGTTTCTTTAGAAGAAG